GAATTGTTTGTTTACCGTCACTCAGTCTCAGAAAGCTAACCATATTTTTTTTTGCTCACCAATTTCGCTCCTGCTTTTCTTTAAAGTAGGGAATTGTATTAGAATTTTGAGTTGAATCCTAGGTAAATAATCTCTACTCCCATTAAATCAATTGCTAGTTTATTGCTGAATAAACCAATCCATATTGAATGGAATGAAAAATATTTCTGCTTCTGCAATAAGGTGTTTTGATTTCAAATTGTTTTGACATCAGTCAAATGCTTAGATTGCTTTGAATCGAAGTAACTAAGATGAAGATCCTCATTGAAGCTGCAATTTCTTTTACTTATGCAAAAATGTTACATGTAGATAGTAGAAATTTCACTTTGTCATTCGTAACATTTATTTTTCTGGTGTTTTTTCTCTCTTGTGTCTAAGCAATAAGACAATGGAATGCTTGGCTCCAGTGAATTTTATCACAAGCAATTGTCTACAAGGGTTAAATCTGAAACGTAAAACGGTTAGTGTTGTGATTTTTAAATATCACAACAAGTTCCTGAAACATCCAGTAAACCACATTTAACGCACAATATTAAAATACCATGCAAAGCTCAATGCTAGATGATGGTCAACATTATAAAATCCTTGTCTATTCAAATCCCCACCTCCATGTTGCTTAGCATCCTGGAAGGTTTTTAAGATGCTGACTGGTATTATAAAGTTTCACAGGCACTGGTCCTTTGGGAAATCATCTAAATAGTCATCTTTTGTACGTAAAGACTGGTACAGGCACTGATATGTTATTTAAATGGATATTACTTGATTCTGAAGCAGGAATATCTGAATTTTAGGAGCTATGTGATGGGGATGGAATGCATATATTAAAACCGAAGGTGAACTTGGTATGATTAAGTAGACGCTTGAATAGCTTTTGTAAAAGATGCAAGCCCTTCTGTTCAACCCTTGCCTGCAGCACCCTATACGTGCAGGGGTTAAAAGCACAAACTCCTATCCTCGTTCACATGGCCAATGATAGAGGAGATTTCAAATAGCAGGTGGCAGCGCAAGTCACTGTGCTGTGGTCAGAAATCATTATCTTGTATGAATCTACTAGGCAACATGGAGGTGGGTATTTCAAAGGATAAAAGCTTATAACATTGACCATTGTCTTTTATTGATCTTTGAGAGACATTTCAGGACATGGTGTTATATGTGGGTTGACTTGCTATATATGCTGATTTTTATTGTCACTGCCACTGGCAATTTGTATACAAAAATCTATTTGAGACCAGCTGCCTAATAGAAGCCTGTCGGAACAGCTGACATTTTTTTTGCTATTGTGCTGTATGAATTCAATGGGTGTATTTAGTGAGTCTGTTGAGAGCATGTATTATGCTTTTCCTATTTATCTTCTATAATTAATGATCACACAGGATTTAACTAATTGAGGGAAGAACCTTAAATTTTTAAAGCAGGGCTGCTAGCCAGGAAGGAAACATTAGCTGTTGTAATTGAAGAGCAGGATAATCAACATCTTGAGTTGTTAATATCACTGCCGCGACCTTTTTGAGTACTACCTGCGATTGTGGTCTGAATTAGTTGAGTCTTAATTTAAAATGTAGCAGTATTCCTCTTGCTCCTATATTTATAGAAATATTTTAGAAATGATTTACTTAATTCAATTCATCTTTGTTTCAATTTGAGCTTGAAGAACATACATTTATCCAGTTTACTGCAAGATAAATTGTGAAAAGTCCAATTTATTATTTAAAATAGCATAATGCTTTATAGAAGTCATGTTTGGGAGACAATGGGTATATTTCTGAGAACTATTGAATGATCAGTAACATGAAGACAGTAGTGTGTGTGTGTGTGTGTGTGTGTGTGTGTGTGTGTGTGTGTGTGTG